AAGTCTCTTCCATTGGAATAAGCTCTTTTGTTCAGATGCTAGATACAAACTGCCCAATTCCAGATCCTCTCCATTCACTTTAGGACTTTTGTCACAAACATGAGGAACTTGGCTAAAGTCAGGAGACTTGGATGGAGAACCTGGGTGGAGAAGCAGATTCAGACAGGTCATCCTTACAGCCCCGGAAATCTCAGCAGCCGGACCTGCCTCAACTGGTGAGCCAAGGTCTCCTGGGTGGACTCAAACATTGCATGAGGTTTCCTGCTAAACAACTTATTTCTCAACTTCCCACTGCCTTGTTCTTCTTTTGTAGCTGGGGAAGCAGGAAACCAAATCACCTTGCTCTGGGCTACAAACCCTGTCTGACTCTGCCCAGTGGTTCCCATAATGGGCATAGTCTGTAAGTTACAAGCCTCCAAGGACTACCTCCCTCATCTCCACCTCTTTCTCCAGGATGCCAGCGCCAGCTGAGCCACCTCCCCTGCCCAGCCATGAATTTGAGTATCAACCGTTGACAGTCCCGTGTCAACGTGATTCTTCACAACCAGTGGCCCATCGCTTATGGTGAAACTCCCTGGGCCAGCTTCTCCATGGTCTCTCCAAGCTGGCTCAGAGAAAGCAGATTCATTGGGTTTTCAACTAAAGGCAAACAATTAATAATGTTAAATCTCTGCCCAAAGAACCCATTAACCGCAAGTCCAAAAGTGCATTTTCAAGGAGAATCAAAGGCACTGGGATGTGTTGCCTCCACCCTGACTCAGACACTCACGTGCACACCACCACCACCCCATCACTGTGGATAACCGAGAGACAGACTGGATTGCTCTCCCCTTTTGAGCACTCTCCCATTACATTTCCTAAATGCTGAGTGAGGCCTGGGGTACAGCTTGATGAACCTGTAAACCCTTCCCATCTTCTTTAGCCTGGGCCACATGTGGGCCAAGAGCTCACCTTTGAAGTACCCCTCAGAACCAGCATCATCTCCCTTTCTGCAATGAGAGAGTGTGTTCACACTCCCAACAAGATAGAAGCACTTGCTCTAGGGGATGGATAAAGCTATCCTCAGGAAAACTGAGGAGGAGGGAACCTTGACCCTGAGCTTTCCACTTGCCCAGCAGAAGCCCATCTCCATGTTTGAGGATAGATTTCCCCATCCCATTCTAGGTCCCAATCTTTTAAAATTTTTAATTAATTAAATTTTTATTGAAGTATAGCTGACACACAATGTTACATTAGTTTCACATGTACAACATAGAGATCTGACATCTCTATATGTTATGTTGTGCTCAGGAGTGTAGCTACCTTGGGGCACCTGGGTGGCTCAGTCGGTGAAGCGTCTGCCTTTGGCTCAGGTCACGATCCTGGAGTTCCGGGATTGAGCCTCGCATTGGGCTCCCTGCTCAGCGGGGAGTCTGCTTCTCCCTCTGACCCTCCCCCTTCTCATGCTCTCTCTGTCTCATTCTCTCTCTCAAATAAATAAATAAAATCTTTAAAAAATAAATAAATAAAATCTTTTAAAAAAAAGAAGTGAGGCTACCATTTGTCACCATATGATGCTATTACAGTACCATTGACTATATTCCCTATGCTGTGCCTTTTATTCTGATGACTTATTTATTCCGTAACTAGAAGCCTGTATCTCCCACCCCCCTTTACGCATTCTGCCCATCCACCCAGCCCCATTCCTCTCTGGCAACAGTCATTTTGTCCTTTGTATTTATGGGTCTGTTTCTGCTTTTTGTTTGTTTGTTCATTTGTTTTGTTTTTTAGACTCTACATGTAAGTGAAATCAGATGGTATTTGTCTGTGTCTGACTTATTTCACTTAGCATAATACCCACTAGGTCCATCCATGTTGTTGCAAATGGCAAGATCTCGTTGCTTTTTATGGCTGAGTAATACTCCATTGTATATATATACCACATCTTCTTTATCCATTCATCTATCAATGGACACTTGGGCTGCTCCCATATCTTGGCTATTATAAATAATGCTGTAGTAAACATAGGGGTGCATATATCTTTCTGAATTAGCATTTTAGTTGTCTTTGGATAACTACTCAGTAGTGGAATTACTGGATCATAAGGTATTATTTTTAATTTTAGAGGAACCTCCATACTGTTTTCCACAGAGGCTGCACCAATTTGCATTCCCACCAACAGTACACAGTGTTCCTTAGGCCCCAATCTTAATTCTCTGCTGGCTGCCAAACATTTTCACCAATATGTTAGCTGATAATAAAACTGACTAGTAACTAAAACTTTGGTTGATGGATAAGGGTTTAAGCTGTTACCTTTTCCTACTTGTTTGCACTGTTATATGATTAAAGTCTACTACAAACCAAAAGCCCAATGATCTGCAGTAAGTAATCTTGAGCACTGGTAGCCAGTTAATCTGAGTGGCATCTTGTTGGAGGAGGGGGTACTTGTTTCTCTCAGTTAAGCATCCAAATCCTGCGGGAATTGGCCACCTCCTCTTCTTCCCTTGGGCACAGAGCACTTCTGACTTCTCCAAAGGACCCCTTCTCCCCCAGCTGACCCCCACAGAGCTGGGTTCCTCTCCAGCCCAGGCTTCTGGGGTCAGAAGCATACAATCACCCCAGGGACGGCTTAAGGGTCCCTGCCATGTTTATGCAGCAACTCAGTGCCTCCTGCATGCACGGGGACCCCAAGCCAGCCTCCGTGTCCCAGGGCACAGTGCACCCCTAGCTTCCAGAGCAAGAGAGCTGGGAAGGGGTGTGGGCGGAGAGGGCCTGATACAGCAGCACACGTCCCACAGAGTCCAACCACGCACAAACAACAGCAATCGTAGAAATAGTCCTGCTTTCTCTACTAAAATCCAGCAGCTAAGACAAGTCTTCTTAGCCTTTGAGGGGTCTTTGGACCCTTCCAAGAATCTGATGAAAGCCATGCAGAAATGGGCTTCTTTACACAAACACTCAAAATGATGCTTTCAACTCCAGCTCCACTTCAGAGATGCACAATAGTCCAAGAACTCTGGTTTACAGATTCTGCTGACAGCTCCCTACCCCCATCTCCATCACTAGCACCACTGCCCCATCACCTGAGTGGGCACAACAGAAAATTTCCCAAGGCACAGCCTGGAAGCTCAGCTTGGGGTTGGACTCTGGTGAGAAGCGCCCATTCATTGCTGGCCTTCCCATTTTACCAGACCCTTGGAAAATCCAGAGTGACAATCAGGAGGTTATTGTAGATATTCACTGACAAACAGAGGGTTCACCACCCAGGGTAGCATTTGAGTGCCCTATTCCATGACTTGAGTTTTAGGAATACATTGGCCTATTTGCCTATTCCTTTATTATTTCATCACATTGGGAGGTTGAAAGCAGAGCGAGAAGGAAAGCTTCCGAAATCTCTGAGGAGAAATTACAACTGTGGGATCAGGGGGGCTGTTAGTGTTACTTAATGTAGGACTCTGGTTACCCACCTACAGCCGCACCACATACAGATTCCATCTCCCTCCCTCACACACACGTCTACTTGGTTATCTCCCTAAGTTCCTAAAAGTCACATCTAAGACATTTTGCTCTAAACTAAAATTTAATTTAGAAACCAATGTGAGGGGCACCTGGGTGGCTCAGTCAGTTAAGCGTCCAACTCTTGGTTTTGATTCAGATCATGATCTCAAGGTCATGAGATCAAGCCCCACGTCAGGCTCCACACTCAGCACTTGGAGTCTGCATAAGTCTTTCTTCCTGTCCCTCTGCTCATCCCCCCTGCGTGCTCTCTCTCTCTCTAAAATAAATAAATAAAATTTAAAAAAAAAGAAGAAGAAAGAAAGAAAGAAAGAAAGCAACATGAGTTTTCCCTACATCACCCTGCTCCCGTATCACTCATTTGGTAACAAGTAGGAAAATCATCAGCCTCATGGACTTTTTAGAACCCTGGAGTCCCAGAACAAATGCCTCCGGATGATGGGACTGGAAAAGACGACTAGTTTGAGGAGAAGGTGGGGAGGAAACCCGATGAGTGTTAAGCACTGAAGGGTTGTGAGTAGAAAGCGAGGACAATGGAGGTTTGTTTTCATTTCTTTGGGTTTTCCAGCCCTCCCTCCACCCCCTGGGAACATCATTCCACAAGATAAAGGCAAGACAGCAAGAGAGGCCTGAGGTATCAACTACTTTATTATTCTGCAGGGACAGCCCCAGGGCCCAGGGCTCTGCTACTCTTTGTGGATTTCTTTGTGGGCGTCCACGCCAGCCTTTATCACGAGTATGAGGAACTCCTCGAAGTTAATTGCACCATCACTATTGATATCCAACTCTTTGAACCAGGTATCGGCATCCTTTTTCTGTTAAGATGAAGGAGAAAGAAGCCAGAGTGTAAAAGACCTCGGCAAGAGCCAAGGCATGGCTGTCTACACAGGGTAACGTGGGAGACCAGGGACCCAGGGCTTCATCAGCCAAGCAGAGAATGCCAACCGCACCCAGCCCCTCCTCACCTTCATGTACTGAGGACACTCTGTCTCTAACAATTTCTTCAAGTCATCCCTATAGAGGGCATGGTAATTCCCCTTCTCCAGGGAGTACTTGTGGTAAACGTCAATGAGGGAGTTCATGGCACTCTCCAGTTCCGTCAGCATGGTGCCCAAGGATCTGCCCCACCTGGAACATAGAGCACATGGGAATCCCAGCATAAGGATGGTGCCTCTGCCCCCAGCAGAGTGAAGACTGAAAGGATGCTCATTACCCAAAATAACGGCTTTGTCCTGGCCTGCACCATTCAAAGAACTAAACCCAGTGCGTGGCTGTGGCTATGATGGGAAGGGGTGTGGGAGGGAGAGGGTCCACACACACACAGGGCCTGCCAACTCTCCCTGTGCCCTCAGCCAACTGTGCCCTCGCTGACTTCCTCCAGGAGCTCTGGATTTTGCTCCAGACCTCCCTGAGCTTTCTCTCCCCTCTCTGCTCCACCTCCGGCCCTCCCAGTGGGAGCCCATCCCCAAAGCATGGGACAGGCTGAGGCAGTCTTACTTACCAGGTCTCCCTGAAACAGAGTTGACAGAAGACATGCAGGGCTCAGTGTCGGCTCCCTTTTATAGCAAGCCAGGTTTTGGCCAGCTGCCAGGGCCATGGGCCATGCAGAGATAGCTCCTCCCTTCCGGAGTTGCCACAGCTTCTGGTTTCCCAACCAGGTGAATGGGGCAATCCCTGCACAGAATGAAAATTTTTGATGGGAGCTTGGGGGCGTAGGAAAAGTGGAAGGAGGAAGGCATTTGCCGGGCAGTAGGTTTCCTGCCCAGCAGGAGAAACCAGGAGGTGGCCACCATGAAGACTGCTTTGGTGAGTCACTGGCATCATCTGGCTTGGCTAACCAGGATGCCCGCTCTTGAGTCCTCCTCACTGTTGCTGCTGCTAATCCCATGAACTGAAGCCTGTCTGTGCATCTCTGAAGTGGAGCTGGAGTTGAAAGCATCATTTTGAGTGTTTGTGTAAAGAAGCCCATTTCTGCATGGCTTTCATCAGATTCTTGGAAGGGTCCAAAGACCCCTCAAAGGCTAAGAAGACTTGTCTTAGCTGCTGGATTTTAGTAGAGAAAGCAGGACTATTTCTACGATTGCTGTTGTTTGTGCGTGGTTGGACTCTGTGGGACGTGTGCTGCTGTATCAGGCCCTCTCCGCCCACACCCCTTCCCAGCTCTCTTGCTCTGGAAGCTAGGGGTGCACTGTGCCCTGGGACACGGAGGCTGGCTTGGGGTCCCCGTGCATGCAGGAGGCACTGAGTTGCTGCATAAACATGGCAGGGACCCTTAAGCCGTCCCTGGGGTGATCGTATGCTTCTGACCCCAGAAGCCTGGGCTGGAGAGGAACCCAGCTCTGTGGGGGTCAGCTGGGGGAGAAGGGGTCCTTTGGAGAAGTCAGAAGTGCTCTGTGCCCAAGGGAAGAAGAGGAGGTGGCCAATTCCCCCAGGATTTCAGGAGAAACAAGTACCCCCTCCTCCAACAAGATGCCACTCAGATTAACTGGCTTCCAGTGCTCAAGATTTGTGGTGCATCTCTCGTAACAAAGCACAGAGAGCCTCAGAACATGCCTATCAGGAAGGCAGTGCACAGAACCCACCCAGTCTGCAGACAGGGAAGCTGACGCCCAGGAAGGTGAAGCAGTTCACCCAGAGTTTCCCAGTGCACAAGTGTCAGGGCCCAGAGCGTCATGAGCCAGAACATGACCTGACAAGAACATGACTCTGCTGAGAAAACTCTCCTCTCTACTTCCTTCCTGCATTCAACGGGTATTTACCCTCTGCCTCTCCAGGACATAGGCCATCATCGCCTCCTGGGGGAAGCAGATGGGATTAGCTTCCCTCTCCTGCATGTTTCCATAGCCCTTTGGGCTTCATTATATCATTAAATTTATAGCTGTGTGCCTTTGGGCCAGTTACCCTCTCTGTGCCTTAGTTACCTCAATTATCAAAAAGAGATTAAAACAGTCTACCTGCAACCCACAGAATGGGAGAAGATATTTGCAAATCAGACATCTGATAAGGGGTTAGTATCCAGAATATATAAAGAACTCCTATAACTCAACCACAAAATTACCCCAATTGAAAAATGGGCAAAGGACTCAGACATTTCTCCAAAGAGGATACACAAATAAGCACATGAAAAGATGCTCCACATCACTAATCATTTAGGAAGTCAAATCAAAACCACAATGAGATATCACCTCAGACTCAGGAGATTGGCTACTATCAACAAAAACAGAATAACAAGTGTTGGTGGGGATGTGCAGAAATTGGGACCCTTGTACACTGTTGGTGGGAATGCAAAATGGTGCAGCTGCTGTGGAAAACAGTGTGGTGACTCCTCAAACAGTCAGTAACTGAATTACTATATGATCCAGTAATTCCACTTCTGGGTCTATATCCAAAATAATTGAAAGCAGGGTCTCAAATAGATATTTGTACATCCATGTTCACAGCAGCATTATTCATAGTAGCTGAAATGTAAAAACAACCCAAGTGTCCGTCCAAGTATGAATGAATAAATAAAAGGGGGTATATTCACATAATGGAATATTATCAGCCTTTAAAATGGAAAGAGGGGTGCCTGGGTGGCTCAGTCATTAAGCGTCTGCCTTCAGCTCGGGTAATGGTCCCAGGGTCCTGGAATCGAGCCCCACATTGGGCTCCCTGCTTGGTGGGAAGCCAGCTTCTCCCTCTCCCACTCCCCCAGCTTGTGTTCCTGCTCTCGCTATCTCTCTCTCTCTCTGTCAAATAAATAAATAAAATCTTTTAAAAAAATTTTTTTAAATAAAAAGGAAGGAAACTCTGACACCTGCTACAACACAGATGAACCTTGAGGACATCATGTTATATGAAATAGCCCAGTCACAAAAAGACAAATATTATTTGATTCTATTTACATGGGGTCCCTAAGGTAGTCAAATTCGTAGAGACAGAAAGGAGAATGGTGGGTGTCAGGGTCTGGGGGAGGGATAATGGAGAGTTAGTGTTTATTGGGTTAGGGTTTCAGTTACAAGATGAAAAGAGTTCTGGAGATTAGTTGCACAACAATGTGAATGTACTTAACACAACTGAACACTTAGTAAATTTTATGTTATATGTATTTTGCCACAATTAAAAATTTAAAACTTTTTGAGTGCTTCCACCCAAAAAGATAAATAGAATCTACCTTGTATGTTATGGTAAGGATTAATAATAGATGAAAAATATTTATGATTTGTGACCTTTTCTTAATATGCATTATACTTTAATAAAAAGTTTACACAAGGACTACGTGAAGTACTTAGGGCAGTGCAGAGTGAGTGAGCGAGTGAGCGCTGGGTGAGCGTGCACCCTGACAACTGGCCTGCCCGTGCCTGCCCGTCCAGCCGGACTGAGCCCTCGAGCACCCAGACTGGACCTTCCATCTCTGCCTCCCCGGGACCCGGCACAGTGCCTGGTAGACACAGTAACAGCAACAACAATCAGTAATAGGAACAAGTAATAACAAAATAACATTGACTGGGCTTCCGCCATGTGCCAGGAACTGGTGCAAGTGCTGGACCTACGTCAATCTTACTTAATACTCACTGCAGCCTATGAGGTAGGTACAATTATCATCCCCATTTTACAGATGAGGAACTGAGGCCCACAGAGAGACACAGCAAAGTGGCTTTTCTGAGACTATCCTTAGGATTAGTTCATGAGCCTGGGATGGGGCTCATGCTGACCTGTCTCAATGGGGGTGAGGATGAGGTTGATGCAGATGATGTCATCCCAGACCCCTGACCCTTCAAGAGATGCCTCCCTTGGGACGCCTGAGTCACTTAGTCGGTTAAGCGTCTGCCTTTGGCTCAGGTCATGATCCCAGGGTCCTGGGGTGGAGTCCCACATCAGGCTCCTTGCTCAGCGGGGAGCCTGCTTCTCCTTCTGCCTGCAGCTCCCCCTGATTGTTCTCTCTCTCTCTGACAAATAAATAAATAAAATCTTTTAAAAAGAGAGAGAGAGAGAGATGCCTCCCTTGAAGTCAGTACCCTGAGAACAGTCCCAGTGGAGGCAACTTTCTTTATCCAGAAATTAAGAAAACCAGGCCCCAGGTCCAGTGGGAAAGACCCAAGGTAGACATAAGCCATGAGCTCCTCCCAGCATCATGTGCTTATCAGTGGAACTTGCTGATCAGGGAGACCCTGAAAGTTGCCCCAGAGACGCTCCCCATGGACCAACAGCCTGGGGCTTCAGGGAGAGCAGGAGCCAGGCTGAGTGACCTAGCAGAAGAAGGTGTCAAGAATTGGGTAAACACATCAGGAGAAAAGGCAGAGCCTGTAATCAGACCAACGGACACAGCGCAACCCAGGGGAAGAGGAACCTGTTCCTACTTACAGGAAAGAGTTTAGTCCTGGGTATGTGTCCCAATAGCCCAACCAAGCCTGTGCCCAAGGCTGAGGAAATGAAGACACAGCGGCAGAGTCGGTGTAGAAACCCCTGCCCCCACCCCGGGAAAGGGCAGGAGATCTAGGCTGAACCGTCCCCTTAGCACTCAAAGGTCTGTAGAACCCAGCAGTCAGGTAAGAAAAGCAGGAAGAATCTTCCCCTGGGCCTGGCGGAAGTAAGTAGCCTGCCTTACCTGCCCATCCATGCCTCTGGTCGTGACTAAGAGGCCCACAGGAGGCAGCACAGACTCGGGAATCGGATTCCTATATACGGGGCGCAATCCACAGGTGCAGCAGGACATGCACCTCCGAAGGGCAGTGCAGACCCCAGGGAGCATGCAGGAAGGTCCAGAGGGAGGCAGCTGGGGCCCAGCTGAGTCCTGAGCGTCAGCACTGGTAGATTGGCAAATGTGCAAGGGGTGCCAGTGGGAGGCCAGGCCCAGGGAGCACTGGGGGCAACACCGAGCTACAGAGCTTGACTGGTCAGAAACAAAGGCACCGCCCCTCCTGTGGCACACAGATCTAGCTGGGGGAGAGAACAAAACCAAGTCCCGTAAATGACACCCCCACCAGTCATCGGCATAGGGACAATGATGATTGCCCACAGTTCTTGGAAAACTCCTCATTGCTATCACAATACGCTCAGGACATGGATCCCCAGACCATCCTCTGAGAAGAAACCCACCAAGATAGACCCTACCAGGGTCTAAAGGCAGAGAAGACTGACCCAGAGAGATTCTGCATCAGATTCCTGGGCTCCCAGGGAGAGAGAGAGAAATAAACACAGAGATGGGCAAGGGCAGGTCCCTGCTGGGAGGGGTCAGAGACCACAGGAGGACTTGGATGGTGAGTCACAATAGCTCCAAGTGGAGTAATGCCCACATCAGCCTTTATTAGTAAAACCCAGACCCAACCCTTCTCTCCTCCAGGAAGCCTTCCCTGATTGACAGTAGCCTAGGTTCCACTCATCCCTCTTCACCATACAGGCTGCAGTGTTGCCCTTTGCCCTAGTCCCTGTCTCTGACTCAGCATGTGCAAAATCCACCTCACAATCTTTGTTCTCAGACCGGCCCTGATGCCAGCCACCCTATGCCAATTACCCACATCATCCTCCCGGTCCTGCCCTGACACCTTCTCAGGCCCAAGCCACTTCTCCTTTGTACACTTTGTACGCTGATTCCTTGGCTCTCCCCCAGAGCAAGGAGACCCTCAAAGTGGGTCCTTGTCCAGTATGCATTTGCCCTCCTGCCTCTTGTCCCCTGTCCCATCATGTATGTGCAGAGCATGAGTGCTCAGAGCATCACCGGTCTTCCGTGTCAGAGAGCCAGTTCCCCGAGAGAAGAGACTCCCCCCTCAGACTGGGGCTCCTGGACGCCGGGGGCTGTGTCTCCCCCCTCAGACAGGGGCTGGAATGGATGATCCCCAAGGGAGCAGCAAACCTCCTCTGTGGACCCACAGCAGATACCCAGAAGCACGAACAAGGAATTCCCAGCACATTTGTGGGATTGCTTTATTCTCTTCCCTCTCAACTGTGCCTTGCACACGCATGTGCAAAGGTGCGTGCACATGCTGGCTAGGCCGACAAGCGGGGCAGAGCCCTGCGCCCAGGCGGGCACCTGAAGCCGGAGGCTGCCCGCGCATCTCCATCTGGTGCAGGCTGTGCCGGCTGGGTAGTCCCTCAGCAGCCGGCCCCGGATGAGCAGGAACTCGTCGAAGCAGATCTGGTTGTCCCGGTTCTTGTCTGCAGCCCTGAACAGCTCCGAGATGTAGCAGGGCTCCTTCCGACCCTGAGGAGGGGCAGGGGGTCAATCGCCTGCCCAGGCCCCCAGCCCCACAGCCCCACAGCCAATGGCCGTGCCTCCACCACCTTGCAGGACACAGCCGCTCCCTCGGGCAGAGGCCAGGACACCGTACGGGACAGAATCAGGCTCCGAGGGGGAGATGGGGCAGGCGCCTCTGCCAGCCAGACCTGGGGCTGTTTGGGCGGACTGTGCAGCCTGGGCACCACTGGCCCGCTGCTCGGCCAGTTGCTGAGCAGTGCTGAGTGGCCTGGTGCCTCCGGACGCATCTGTCCACCATTGGTGGCTGCTTAAGCCTGTCTTCCCAGCCGCCCTGGGAGCTGCCCAGCAGCAACAGCCCGGCCCAGCGGCTTTGGGATGGAAGGCTGTGCCCCTTCCTTCACACGGCGAGCTCCCCAGGGCACAGCCCACCTGCCCCCAATGTCTGCATGGGATCAGGTGTCTGCATGCCATGGCATCTGCCCAGGAATTGTTTATGACACCAAGCCTGTGTCACCTGCAGAAAGTGCAGAATGAGGGAAAAGACAAAGTCATGGGCCTGGGCTGTCCAGTACGTCCCAGATCAGGTGGCCTGGAGGGCTGAAGACCGAGGATGCTATAGGGGAGGAACAAAAGCACTTGAGGAGGAAGGGACAGCCAGAAGGCAGGCAAGGGTCAGCATGCAGCCCAGGCAGGAGAAAGCGCAGGTGGGGTCATGGCAGGAGCCCCAGACAGGGCCTCAGAGCTGGTTTCGGCAGCATCTGGCTGGTGGGTGTGGGGACCCAGAGCGGAGTCCTCGGAAAGCCTCCAGGGAAGGAAGTTGCTGCATCCGTCAGCAGCTGGGGGCCTGGAGGGTGGCCCCCGTCCCCGTGGGCAGGTTTGCACCATCTGTTTCCCCACACCGCCCACCACCATCTAATTCACCTAATCTTATCTCCTCCGCAAAAACTGGTTGATCTGAGACCCTGGGGCTTCCTGCGTGGGCAGGCTCTCTCTGGCTCACCTCAGCTCAGCCCCCCTGACCCAGGCTGCTATCTGTCTGTCCCTGAGGGCCCTGTTCCCCAGGCAGGGCTGCGAGCCCCAAGTGGCATGGTCTGGCCGTCCTTGCCCAGCCCCACGGTATAGGTAGTTGGCCCCAGAAAGAAAGTCACCCCAGTCCCCTCTGTGACCCTCACAATGACACTCCACTAAACTGAGGACAAGACTCTCCTCTGATGTTTCCCAAAGATAAGTAAGGGAACATACAAAGTGAAGGAGGCGGTGCTCCTTCTGGAAGGCGGGGGCCTCCAGTCAGGGCACGGGCCTGAAATATTCTGGAGATGACAGTGCAGAGACCCCTCAGGCATGGCACTGAGGGCAGAGGGCAGCACCCCAGACATTCCTGCCAGCCTCGCAGTCCCCAAGGCGCCTGGGAATTATAGGGCTTGATAATGGAGAAGATGCGCAGGCCTGAGAGGGTTTCTGAGCTCCCAGGCCAGTCCAAGAGCCTCTGTTAGCCCTTCAGACAGCAACTAGAAGGGGACACTACCTTTCCTACCACCACCATCGCCCCCGCCCCCCGGCTTCTGCCCAAACTGTCCTCACCCAGGCACAGTGACACCGAGGTTTGTACTAGTCCCTGGGAGAAGGGGCCTGGGGCTAAAAGGGCAGGTTTGGGGCAGGATCGCTGACTGAATGGGGCTGCGGGCAGAGGGAAGACTTAGGACCTATTCTCTCAGGAAACAGGATGAGCAGAGGAATAAACAGGTTGGAGTCAAGACTAAGTCTCCAGATTAGCTACGTTTGGGCTGCAGTGGGGCCCAGCAGGGAGTTTCAGGAGAAGGAAGAAGGAGAAATAAAGCTGGGCCAGATCCACCCTCCCTCTGCCCCACACCCTGCCCTCCCAACTCCCTCACCCTCCTCACCTAAGTAGGAATTCTCTTGGGAGATAGCTCCCCATACCTACACCCTCACCACTTGCTTCCAACCCCACAACCCACCCTATACTTCATCCCCACCTGACCCCAGACCCCACACACCAGGCTCTCCATGAAGCAGGTACGTTATCCATAAGCAGAGCCTTCAACTCCTCCAGGGACAGGGTCTCCACATCCCCCTCCCGGGCTGCGTACTCATGGTAGCAGTAGATGATTTGGAAGAGGGATTCCTCCACTGGCGTGTGTGTCATGGCGGCTGGGCCCTGGCCAGGACAGGAAGCAACTCTGGAGATGTATCACTGGAGTACCTGGGGACAGTGGTGAAGCTGAGGGGAGAGCAGCACCTTGGCTAGGCCTGCCCACAGCAGATGGGTGCTTCCTCCGAGAATCTTCTGCCGTCTCGTTCTGCCCACCTTCCTGCACCTTGTCTCAGGTCCCCTCCCTGCATTCCCTCTGACCCCTTGCAAACATGGCTCAGAGTCCCTGCCCTGCAAGAAGCTTTGCTGTGAGCCCTCAGACAGGGCTCTGTCCCTTCCCTGAGACCATGGGCTTCCTGAGGACAGGAGCTGTGCTCTCTGCCCCTAGACCCTACTCCCAACTTAAGAGTCACCAGAAACCAAGAATGAAAAGAATCCAGACTCCTTGGTGCAAGACGGCGCTTTCCAGTGGAAATATGTTTAAACCCTTGAGAAGTCAAGATCCCTACTACTAGACTACTTCATACCACAAATGAAATATTAAAATAATTGCACCACCCAGAAACCCCAGCCCTGCTCAAGTGTTGTTATTTTCCTTCCTCAGCTGAATGTACAGACAACACCAGGCTGCCCAGCTTTGTTCTGACCACTGCCTTGCTGCATGACCCTCGAAAGCAGTGTACTTGCCATTCACAGAGTCCTTTCAGCCCTGAGCTGCGTTGGCCGGCACTGGGGTAAGCAGTGGTACCTCCAGGCTCCTGTGGTAACCCCACGGCACCAAGCCTGGTGCTGTGCACACAGACGAAGTACTGATGCTCCCACCTCCTCCTGCCCACACCCTGCAGAGATGAGATCCCTGTCTTCGGGAGGCAGGGTTACCCTGTCAGCTCAGCAGTCCCCTCCAGATTCTGTGCAGGTAAGGATCATAGCATCTGCTGGTTCTGACCCTTAGGGAGCCAGCCAAGCACTGGCTTCATAGTGACCTTATGAGGTAGGCGTCATTACTCCCATTTTCCTGAGGAAGAAATGAAATCCAGAAGGGTTAAGTAAATTTCCTAAAATCACACAACTGATCCACCTGGAGCTAGATTCAAACAATTGGGGGACCACAGGTACCATATTGGGACATCCATGCACCGCACACATTCTCCAAAACAGGTAAGCTGCCCATCTTTGCTTTCTCGGACCTGCACAGACTCAGCACTGTCCACCCACCTCAGCCCATCTCAGCCCCTCCCCTGGGAGAGGCCGCACCACTCAGAAGAAGTGCTGATCTGTGCTGTTGGGACAAGGTTGCTCCGAATCCACAGTGCTGGCCTGTGGTTTGTCCTACAGATTCCCCAGCGCGCAGGCAGGAGGCCTTGGTGCAAGCAGGGGCCCAGCCACCAGGTCCTACATCCTGCCCATCCTTGGTGCTTCTTTTTTTTTTTTTTTTTAATTTTATTTATTTGCGAGAGAGAGAATGAGAGACAGAGAGCACGAGAGGGAGGAGGGTCAGAGGGAGAAGCAGACTCCCCGCCGAGCAGGCAGCCCGATGCGGGACTCGATCCCGGGACTCCAGGATCATGACCTGAGCCGAAGGCAGTCGCTTAACCGACTGAGCCACCCAGGCGCCCTCATCCTTGGTGCTTCTAATTATGGCAGCCAGTGTCGTGACTCTTCACAGGTTCTCCAGCAGCACGACCGAGGCTTAATTGCATTCCTGAGATGATATCACATGACACTTACTTCCTACAATTAACTCAACCGGTTTCAGGGACCCACCTTCCCTCGGAGCCTGATCTGAAGCATCTCAGAACCACAGGAGGTCACACTGTCCGTCTCTCTACCTCAGAGTTCATCCTCCCAGCTCCAGGGCCTGGGTGGGGTCAGACACACAAAGTGAATACATCATCCTCCAATGTCCTCCCTCAATGACTGAGTCCCCGGACTCTACAGTCACGAAGCACATTTATTCATCCAACAAATATTTCTGGAGTCCCCACACTGGGCCAGGACCTCGTTAGGGAATGTGAGTACAACATGGGGCCAGCTCACAGGGTGGGGATGAGTGGAGGGGACAGCATCACGCGCTGGCATAACCCACTGTGAACACTCCTAGCTTGGTGGCATGAACAAGGTACACGGGTGCCCAGGAAGGAACATTTTCTCCCTGGAGAAGAGTTGAAGATTTCCTTAGGGGGATGATATTTGAGTTGGGGCTTGAAGAAAAGGTTTAATTGCAGGGAGAAGCATGGAGAAGGCTGGAGAGGCAGGACAGAGACAGAGCATGAAGGAGCCTGTGTGCCAAGCCAGGTTTGCACTTTATCCTGTGAGCAGGAAGAAGCTGATAGAGGATTTTTAATGGACTGGGTGAAGGCTGGGAGGTGAGGAAGAAGTGGTAGGAACAGCTTTGTTGTAAGAAAATAACCGACAGCAATATGGAAGAGACCCTACCCTAAGGGCGCCCCTTCTCTCAGCCCATCTCAGCCCCTCCCGTGGGAGAGGCCACACCAGCTAGTGAGTACGTCTCCCAGACGGGGGCGCCAAAGGACAGGTAATTGAATCCCTGAAGGCCTGAGAGCGGTTAGGGAAAGACCTTAAGCCAAAATCTTTTTCAGTTTGCGGGGTGAGCCTTCGTCTACCCAACATAATGATTTCTCCAGTAAATAAGTAGCTCACGAATACACATTTATGTTTCCAAAATAAAAACAGGGCTCAAATTTCTGAAATGTAAAACAATTTGGCAATGCCAACCTACAGAGTTGGCAGAGTCACAGAGATTTTTTTTTTTAAAGATTTTATTTATTTATTTGACAGAGAGATAGAGAGAGAGCACGAGTAGGCAGAGTGGCAGGCAGAGGCAGAGGGAGAAGCGGGGATCAATCCCAGGACCCTGGGATCATGACCTTAGCCAAAGGCAGACGCTTAACGACTGAGCAAGCCAGGTGCCCCAGTCACAGAGATTTTTATTGAATACCTTTAATTTAGCCATCACTGTCCTGGGAATTTATCCCAAGAAAGAAATTAAACAGATATTAAAAAGCAATAGGTAGTAAAATGTTCGCCACTGCATTTTCTGTAGCCAAAAAAACAAAAATAAAAATAAAAACCTTGAAACTACTTAATTAACAAATTTGGACCATCACTGGCTAATGATCGTCACTCAAAAGGAACTCCATTTTTAACCCATAGCTTGTTTGGGGGGAGGAGGTCGTATTGTACCCCTCTTCACCCTGACTTTTGTTCAACCTGGACAAAACGACTCCCTACACCATCCCAATGCACAGTGATGACCTCCTTCCACAACTCTGCTATAACCACTCTTTTCACTTAATGCTAGACTGTGGGCATCTTCCCACCCACTTAATCAAGGCTAGCCTGATTTTTAATGAATGCCTAGTGATTATTTGTTTGCATGTATCAAAATATGTTTGACTAATCCATTATTGGTAGACATTTAAATTACTTTAGATTTATACATTTCAACCAACTCTTCCCTTAATATTGATATTTCTTAAGAATTTCGCCATGTGGGGCGCCTGGGTGGCTCAGTGGTTGAGCGTCTGCCTTTGGCTCAGGTCATGATCCAAGCTCCTGGGATCCAGCCCCGCATCGGGCTCCCTGCTCGGTGGGAAGCCTGCTTCTCCCTCTCCCACTCCCCCTGCTTGTGTTCCTGCTCTCGCTGTGTCTCTCTCTGTCAAATAAATAAATAAAATCTTTAAAAAAAAGAAAAAAGATCTTTGCCATGTGTGTTAGGTGCTGGAGAGAAGGGGGACAGAAGCAGATTTACACCTCCTTCCCTGGCCAGAGCTGCCCCTGATGTGCACTGAATCCCAACCCCAGACCAGAGCTGCCACCCACCTCCCAAATGCAAGCCCTGAAACCCCAGATCCAGAGCTGCCCCACACACAACCACGTCTAGACGTAGGTATCACCGCTGCACCAAGTATGGCCGTATGCAGAGCCCTGAGAGGTCCTCTTAACCATGACTTCCTTCTGTGGGGGGAGAACAGGAGAACCCCAACAGCTTTCCCCACCCTAATATAAAAGTCAGTAGATACCTTTACAGTGTTACTTTAATCTGTGTATGTCCATATATTTATCTTTACCTGTGAGATTTATGCTTTCCTGTGCTTTCACATTGCTGTTTAGTGAGTTTTCATTTCAATTTTAAGAACTGTCTTAAGCATTTCTTATAATTCTAGTGATGAGTTCCCTGTTTTGTCTGGAAAACAAAAGAGAAAAACCCAGGACCTATGGCTTCATGGGTGAGTTCTAACAACATTCAAAGAAGAATTAATTAATGCCAATGCTTCTTAAACTCTTCAAAAAAATAGAAAAAGGAACACTTCCAAACTCATTTAATAAGGTTAACATCACCAGATACCAAAACTAGGCAAAGGCACTACAAGAAATAACTACAGGCCAATATCCCTGATGAACATACGTGCAAAAATACTTAATAAAATCCTAGCAAAATGAATTCAGCCGCACATTAAAAGGATCATGCACCATGACTAATTGGGATTTATCTCAGGGATTCAAGGATAGTTCAACATATGCAAATTGAACTTATAACATGTTAATATAATGAAAGAAAAAAGACATAATTATCTGAATAGATGCAGAAAAGGCAGTTGACAAAGTTCAACACCCCCTCACAATTAAAACTCAACAAAATAGGTACAGAAGGACCTTAACACCATATATGAAAAATTTATAGGTAACTTCATAATCAATGGGGGAAGTAAACTGAAAGCTTTCCTTCCAGGATCTAGCACATGGCAAAGAAGCCTGCTCTTGCCACTTCTTTTAAACTTGATACTGAAAGTCCTAGTAGAGAAATTAAGTAAGAAAAAGAAACAAAATGCATCCATATAGGAGAAGAAGAAATAAAATTATCTCTATTTGCAGATGACATGATCATACATAGAAAACTCTAAAGGCTAAACAACAATAAACCTGTTATAGATAATAAATAAGTCAGTAAGTTTGCAGGATACAAAATAAGCATACAAAATCTATGAATTTTACACAAACAACAAACTATCCAAAAGAGAAATTTTAAAAAACCAATCTCATTCACAATAGCAAGAAAAAGAACAAAATGCATAGGAAATAACTTAAAAGAGTCAAAAGACCTTCACACTGAAAATTATGAAAATATTGATGAAGAGAATTTAAAAAGACACAGATAAATGGAAAAACATCCAATGTCCATAGATTGAAAGAATTAATATTGCTAAAGTGTCCATACTACCCAAAGTTA